GCACAGCGGTAGTATCACACTTTTCTCTGGTGGCAGTAGCAACTCACAACGGTGGAGAAAGCACAAAATAGGCAACTCAAGCCCCACAACAATCGGGGCCGCGATGAAAGAATGCGTAGCCCCGGAGTCAAACAATACATATACAACATGACTACCAATAGAAACGGTACCTCTCACAAGGTTCGGAGCTCGGTCCGACTGCTGCCTATCCAAAGTGTAAACTCGGCCAGTGGCTGGTGGCACGACAGGTGCCGTTGTAGGTGGAAGAGGAACCATCTACAATGGAATCGCCAAAACCGCTGCCGCCTAGCAGCCGACGAAGGACAATCTCTGGTATAGTGGCCCTCTTTTCCACAATGGAAGCAAATAAGCTGACCGGTGGAACACGGCCCGAAATGAGATCTCCCGCATCCAGTACACTTGAGAGTAGTGGAAGGTCTCGCTGCACTCTCCTGCGTCGAAGTCCTCTTAAACTGACTCGGTGCCTGCCGAGTAGATAACTGCTTCCCCTTTCCTTTTCCTCCAAACTTCTTGTCTCTCCAGGAAGTGGAGCTACTATAACACCTCGTAAATCTAAATATGAAATTATATGCTATAATGTGGGTTAAAAGGGAAGGATTAGTGAAAATCCGGAAATTAAGGCCAAACTGTGTGAAAAGGGCAAAATGGTAAATTACCAAACACGTAACCCGAGGCATGAAAAATTGAGTAGAAGACCTCAAATGATAAAAATAATGCTGGAAATGGATTCAGGACGAAAAATCGAGTGAATAGGCAAGTTTTGAAAATTTTGATCAATAGTGATTTTTCCGGTGTAAAAATATTGCGGTATAATTGTACCGATAAGCGTGAAATTTTTATCTGTATTTTTAGGAAACAAAAATATGACGCGAACAAGAAAAATATGTAGGTTATGAATTTGTGGTTTAAATTAGGTGATTAATTAAAGTTAAATCGCGTGTGGGACCCACTAATAGTTTAAGTGACTTAAAAGTCACAATTACATGACATTCTCTCTCCATTTTTCTTCCTCTTGCAACTTCTTCATTTCTTGACCGATTCAAGTGATTCTTGGCTTGAAATTTGTTGGAAACAACCTTCCTAATCCATTGGTAGTAGTATTAAGCCATGAAAACCACCACATCTTGTGAAAAACCCCATATTCAGCGGCGGTTTTGGATGATTTGGAGAATTTTTGGTGACTTTAGGGTTGATTCATTGCTTGGAGATCAATCCCTAGGATCATTGGAAGCTATTGGTGGTAAGGTTTCTCACCCTCACTTGGTTTTTTGTGAGATCATAAGATTGATGAGGGTTTTGAAGTTGTATGTTGAGTGATGATAGTTAGGAGCTTCAAATGATATGTCTCCTTTGTAATTAAATGCTTAGAATGACAAATGATGATGATTGATACAATAAAATTTATGGTGATGTGAGAATTTTAACTTAGGCAAATTTTGTGTTGAGTTTTCAAGACTTTGTGAATTTTGTATGTGGTGTAATTGAATAATTGAATTATGGACCATTGGTATAGGCTAATATTAGGATTTTATGATATGTGTAAGTGTTGAATTGGATTGAAAATCCTTTGGGATCCTAGCATGAAGAAATCGACCTATTGAGGTCATGTATGGTTAGATGATGTAAAAATGATATAGTTGATGTCATATGATCGTGATTGGTGTTTAAATAAATGGTAGGTTGGTTTGATGTAGTGAAATTGAAAGGAGGAATGTTGGATGTGTTGTGTGGGTGAGATTTCGACCATATTGAAGGAAATAAGGAAAATGATGTGAAAATGTGGAATAACCAATGAGTGATGCCTTAGTGCATAAATGGTGATTTAGTTTAATGACTAAAATGGTTGAAGTAATTGGATTAAATGTAGTTGGCCATTAGGCCTAAGTTGTTTTGTTGAGAATAATTGTATTTTGAAAGTGAATTGGTTGTCTTGAAATTGTATTGATGATCATGTTGATTGATCATTTTAGGTTTCCTCTCTCGGACTCAATAGAGGAGAATTAAGCTTAGAGCTTACGTTGTGGAGCATTGGCTTCAGAGTTGAGGTAAATCTTTGGAACTTGGGTTTTATTCCCTCGTGTGTTCCACCACACCTAGTGGAAGGTTGTGGTTGGATTTGATGCCTTTGATTATGTATAAATGTATGTTCATGCATTGTTGACATGATTGTGTGACATGTTTGGAGCATGTTGTGTGATATAATTGTGATCTCTGGCCAGTAGATGTGTGTTGGTTTGGACTTCCACTGGAGATATCCTTTGGGGATTCAGGTCGGGTTTTGCCGTGGAACCGACTCTGGGAGCAGTACCAGGATAATCCAAACGTGGGACTTCCGCTGGATAGGGCTCATGAGGAGTTCCAGTTGGGTTTTTCCATGGGGTCGTCTCAACCATGGGAGAGGCACCAGGAAGATTCCGGGAGTTATATGATGGGGTCCTTTAAGGGAATCCTGATGTGGATGTCCTTGGATTTGTGCCCAGTTATTGTTGTGTGATATTTGTATGTTATGCATTTTATATGATGATCATTGTATGCACATTGAGTGAGCCATGAGGTGGAGTGATCCTCTGGTACCCTTGGTTTACTGAGCATGGTAGATCTCCGGGCAAGAGGCCCGCTTAGTGGAGGAGTAGAGCGTGAGGTGCATTTGGAGAGCATGACATATTGAAGGATTCCATTTGATGTACATAGCATAGTATTTAATATTTTGGACTTAGGTCATGAACTTGTTGCATGTGGATATTGCCATGCTCTTGTATATTTATGACTATATGTTAAGTCCTTTAAAATTTATGTATAGTTATGCCTCTTGTCATTTTGTATTTTGAGTGAGCATGGGACTTGTCCATGGCCACATATTTGTATTTTGAGGCATTGGAAGACTTGAGTTGTAAATAGACCATTGGTTGTGTAAAATGGCTATGATATTGCAAATGGTTGTAATGATGCATTAATTAATGTATATGCATGATGGAAGGGCTTAGAGCCTACATTAGGACATGTGAAAAGTGTATATGTAGTAGCAATGTGTTAAGAGTAGGTTAGACCACTCATTTTGGGTCTTAAAAGCTGTCATCTGTCATTTTTGCTGCATAGTAATCGATTACTTTTCACTGGTAATCGATTACCTACAACAGGGAACAAAAAATTGAGCTTCTGTCTTCAAAGTAATCGATTACCAGAGCATTGGTAATCGATTACCTAGTTCAGTAATCGATTACCAATATCTGGTAATCGATTACCAGAAAACAGGGGAGCCCAATTTGAGGTTCTGACTTCTATAGTAACCTTGGGTAATCGATTACCTCAAGCATGGTAATCGATTACCACGGTGTTAAATTTTAAAAATGTGTTTTCTAAAAGCTAAAATGAATGGTATTGCTTAGAGAGTTGATGTTGAGTATAATTTATGGTTCCGCGAGTTTTGCATTTACAATTATGGCATTGTTTTAATTGATTACGGAAATGGTTAAGGTTTAAAGAAAGGAATGTAATAAAAGAAAAAGTTTACTCGTAATTTAATTAACTCAATTACTATGATTGTAACTGCGCTTAATACCATATGCAATGATAACATTACCGGTACGTAACGGGCTGTTACAGCTACCAGCTCCTTTTACTTCAGATACTTTGGCCTTCTTGGCCTTACTGACCACTCAAACGTCTTCTATATCACGGCACTATTGAACCAATGTGTTAAAGTCTCGGGATGCTGCTCCAGCTATCTTGTCTGCAATCTCCTCACTAAGTTTCCTGCGAAACTTAGATACCAAGAATGCCGGTGTAGGCATCGCAATCCTAAAGTGTGCAAATTTGACCAGTTCATTGAACTTGGCCAAGTACTCGTCAACAGACATCGAGCCCTGTACCAACTGCTCGAACTCCCCCTGTTTTCTCTCCTGCGCATCATAAGGAAAGTACTTCCCTAGAAAACACTCCTCAAAGAATGGCCACGTGATCACATGGCCCTGCATCTCATAGACTTGAGAAGTGTTCATCCACCATTCATGAGCATCTCCCTCCAGCATATACGTAACAAAAATCAATTTCTGGGGGTCGGTACATTGCATCACCCTGAATATCTTGTCCAGGGCCTGGAGCCATCTAGCAGCAACAATGAGGTTATAGGATCCGTTGAAAGAAGGTGGCTTATGCTTATGGAAAGCATTCAGCCAACGGTCAATGGTCTCTCTATCCTCAGCGGGCTCAAAGTAGGGCTGCATCAATTCTGTGAGGTGACTCACGCCCTCCATACGATTTTGAGTATCGCCCTCAAGAGCATGTGCCCCACCTCCTCCATGCCCATCTTGGTGACTGGGTGGAGGCGGCGGTGGTGGTGGTGTTGGTGCCGGAGGTGGTGGCGGAGGATGTTGGCCACCAATATGACCAGTCCTCATCTCCTCCAACATGACCCTCATCATGGTCATGTTCGCCAGCCGATTCGCCTCGAGCACATCCTCTGTAGCTTTTCGATTCGCCTCTCTAACGGCATCCAGCATCGCCTGATTGACCACTCTAATGGCCTTCTGGTCGGCTTGTCTAGCCGCCTGCATCTCTGCTAATGCAGCCAGGACCGGGTCAGGCTGACCCTGATTAATCTCTCGAGTTCTCCGAGGTAGTACCATGACTCTGCACATGTTACACAAAGAATGAGTTGATCCGGCCCACACAATGTGGTCACGTATGCATTATCACAGCAAAACCCAAAAGAAACACAATAGACAATTCACACAACAAGGCATCCTAAGTTATTGCAATACATACAGGATTTTTCCCTAGAAAGTGCTCTGATACCATAAAATGTAACACCCCGTGTGCACCCGGTGTATTTAACATACATATGGTAATAGCGCAGCTAATTAAATGCGGAAGCTAACTTTTCTTTTTAACAATTATGACATCATTAATCATTAACCAAGTTGATTACTTATCCTTTTTCAAAATATCGCCTGTATGTACATTGCAATAAATAACTAACTGAATAACCTCATCTCATAAATAGTATCAAGTCACAGAACTACAAGACGTAGACCAGACCATATCTAGATACAATTATACAACTTAACAGAAATCAATGTGGCATGGACAACTCTCATGCTCACCAAATAACACAACATAATTATGTCTCAATACAATAGCCATAAAATGTAAATCAGGCATAATCATGCAGTACAGATAAACCACTAAGTATGCATAAGTCAGCTCAACTCTGGCCTCCTGCCGCTAGAGGTATCTACCTCGAGGTACCTGTACCTGAAAATGTGCCCCAACACGGGATGAGATCTCTAAAAAGAAATATCAGTAAGACAAGGGGTCCTCAAGGATCTCTCCACCCCAAGCTCACTTACATGTGCAATATAAGTTCAAAAGCATAATATCATCATCATTTCAAAATCTGTGCAATGCAGCATATATCCATGTCATGTGTGTATGCATCCTACTTGCCAGAGAATAAAAATAAGAATTGCATACATCTATGACCTACAGTACAAGGAACACCGCTTGCACCTCACCCACGAAGTTACCATCTTGTATGACGCCACATACTTAGGGCTTACCGTCTAGGTGGTACACCACATACATATCATATGGCACTTGCACTCAATAAACCAGCTCAATAACATGTCAAGAATCATCATTTATTTTCATTAAAACACATCATTCATAACTATCCCTCTAGGAGGTAAGGTGGAACCAACAACGGGCAAAACCGAGGACACGAAAACTTACCTCGCAAGCTAACAATCCAATCAAGAGTTCACCCCAGCCCAAGGTCACCAAACAGCACACTCACAGTTTGTTTATAACAAGAATATAGTCAATATTCATAGCCCCAAAGTTTCACTACGTGTTTATGACTTTCTTTCTTGTTTTAAGTGATTTTAGGCTAATTCTGCAGGAGGTATTCGAATACTCCTCGATGAGTATTCGAATACTCCATGTCTCCAGAAAGTATCTGAATACTTTCAATAAAAGTATTTGAATAACACAAAGTATCCGAATATTTTCCTCACAGTATCCGAATACCACAAGGTATCTGAATACTTTCACCACAGTATTCGAATACCACCAAGTATTCAAATACATTTACTAAGGTATCCGAATACTTTTCTTCCTAGAAAAGTATCCCAATACTTCTTCATGAGTATTCGACTACCTGCTGATAAGTATTCGAATACTCCACGAAAAGTATTCGAATACTTATCAGACAGAATGCAGAAACTCGTGCAGTTTTTGCATAATCTACATTTTAAAGGTCCTCTCACGATTTGGAGTCCAATAACTCCACAAACAGAAGTTCATTAATACATTTTAGGCATAGTTTATCATCCTGTAACTTGAGTGATCAAAGTTTCACTCTTTAATGGCTCAAACAAGCTCAAACCATGGAATTTCAAAGAGAGTGATACCTCAAGGCTCAAGAACTCAGAAAAGGGACTGACTTGGAGCTTCCCACACAACATTAGGGTTCAACCACTTCAAAACCACGAAAATGCACTACAAGCTTGGTCATTTCTCTATCAAAATGGCTTCTTGAAGCTACAAATGCCAAAGAAATGACCTCAACACCACTAACCAATGGAGTCATCCCTCCACCCCTCACCACACTCAGAAATGTGCAGCAACGCTCTCACACAAGGCTAGCTCTTACTCATAAATGTCATTTTGGAGAAGGAAGATTGAAGAAAGGTGGTAACTTGGGGCATCAATGGAGGGGGAAGGTGGAGCAAGGTGGCTGCACCCAAAGAGCCTCAAAAATTTCACGTAGAAGGGAGCAAAACTGACCTAGGGTTTTGTGCCCCCTTGTATTTACACACTTAAGTTTAATCCGTCGGTATTAGCATTAATAGCTCTGCTAATCATTTTAATCTCAAACTTTAGATTCTGAACCTAGCCATTTTTCTAGGATTTTTCGTATTTGTATTATAATTTTCGCAGCACTTTGCCGGTACGCATTTTTTTAACGTAGCCGGTATAAGTTCTGACGTCAGTTCTCATTATTTTGACTCCAAACTTGACATATCAGTCCTAAATATTATTCTAAGAATATATACTTACTCTTTGTAATTTTTCGGGATACTTCATCGATACTCACTTATACCGTGAAACAGAACCGATATCTTCACTTTTCGTAAGAAAAGCGACTTTCAACATGATTAAGCACTTACTATAATTATTTACGCCCTCTCGTAATCATTCAAAGTCAATTATTGAATTATTCTTTAATTTCATAATTAAGTTATTTAAATTCCTAAATTAACGGTGCAGGTTCTTACAGTAGCTAATGGTGCTGAGGCATCACACGGTAGGAGGTCGGGAAATGGATATTACTTGTCATGACATTCATGATTTTGACTGTCATTTTTATATGTACATGACATGTTTTATAAGTTTTACTATCTTTTGAGATATATATGTCATGTCATTCTTTTGGCGAGCATAAGGGATGTCTATGCCATGATAATAGTTTATCTATTTTATTAGTGATGTATGCTTAGGTCTATGTTACTTATTTAATTACATCTCTTTAGTTTATTTGATGTAATCATATAAGTAACATTATGGACATTATTTTGAAATCTAATAGTTATGAGATAGCCTAAGCCATGGTTGGCTAGGCAATATGTTTTACGCATATATGGTTATATGAGTTAATTGTGGGAGTTGCTATATATAAGGAAAAAGAAAAAGTTAATCATGTTTTTATGCTAGACTTGAAAGTGATTTTCTAAGAGAGCTTTCGCGTTTAATTAATTAAACATGATGCGATTAATATCATATATATGTAAATACACCGTATGCATATGGGGTGTTACAAATTGCTTACTTGGGAAGGCTTATATTTAGAATGTGATTTGATTTCTTTTCCTAATATTTTAATTGTTAGGTGTATTTGATTTTAATTATTTTCTTATTTTAGTATGTTTAATGTTGTTTGATTTGTAATAAGCTATACATAAAGTTTCCATTTTTTTAGCATAATCTAAATTCACTTTGGGGTTATTTGACACCTTATTAAAGGGTGTTAGGACTCCATTTGTAGGTTGTTAAATTTTGAATATTGATTGCTTTTACAAGGGTTTTCTTTTATCAATTCCCAAATTCTTTTGTTTAACCTATTTTCCATACGTTTTAGCATTAAAACTTGTATATGATTAAGATTAGATTACATTTTCATCATATCACTATTAAATTATAAATACTTATTTGAATATTTTATACAAAATACAACTTCGATATTGATCAATAACATTATTCTCTCTGTTTGTTCTTTATCCCTTATGCTATTTATAATTATTACTTCTATAACTTATTTTATTTATATAGTTCTAATTTTTTGTTGTTTGGTATATGATTACAAATATTAAAAAAATAATATTGTCACCATATATATAATTGGTTGGTTTGGTTAGTGTTAGAATTATATTGTAATTAAGGTTTCCTTATTTCATTAGGCTTTTTGTATTAGGTCTAATTATATTAGGTTTGGGCTTAGCCCATTAGTTTGTCTATATATTGTACATCTCTCACCAGATTAATACACACAGATTATTTCAATGTTCCTCTCTTTTCTTGTTATTTAACACGGTATCAACAACCTAACGAACTTTGAAATTTTTTTTCTAGTGAACCTACTGTTCATCGTCTTTTAAATTTTTTTCTGGAACTGTCTCGATGTCAGTTTCCGGTACGCTTTTTCTTCCGCTTTCACGTTCAGGCTGCTGTCTTCGTCAACCACCACCGTCCGGTGGAGTTTTCCGGCAAACCACATACCGACGTGCTCTTCTTGGAAGCACGATCCCAACCGCACTGGCTGCACCTCCATCGGAGCCCTCAAGCGCCCACACGCGCGCGTGCAAGCTCTGGTCATCCTCTCCCCAAGGCGGCGCGTGGGACCTCCTCTCCGGTCGCGGCTGGTGGCGTTCTCCTCATCTCCCTGTGACGGTTCTAGATCTGGTCCTGGTTCTGTGTTTGGACTTCGTTTTGTGTTGACGTCAGATCCCTCTTCTACCGGTTAGTTGTGTGATCTATCCTTTTTGATTATTTTTTCTCTTAATTATGGACCCTCCTCTCTCCAATGACTCTGGTACTCCGGCTGAGAAAAAGTCAGACTCTGCTATTTTTTCAAATTATATCCTTGCTCCGTTGAGTGTGGATAAATTGGATGGTTCCAACTATGATACTTGGTCTTCTAATCTGCGACTTTGGTTGGATGGGCAAAATTATACATCTCATCTCCCCACTAAGGATGAATCTGTGGCAGATAAGGAGCGCACACGGTGGAAAATGATTGATGCTCAGCTGCGTAGCCTCATTAAAGCTACTCTTCATCCGTCTATCAAGCAGATTTTTCGAGCTGCTGTTACTTGTGAAGCTATTTGGAGTCAGGCAAAAGCACTTTACACCAATGATACCCAGAGGCTCTATGGTGTGTGTCAGAAATTGATGACTACATTTTCTCCTTGGGACTTCAATTGTTCTATGACTGAATATTTGGGGAAAGCTCAGAGTCTACTTCATGATCTTAATGAGCTTCTACCTCTCACAGGTGATGTTAATAAGGAACAGAAACAACGTAATACACTGTTTATGCTGTTCATTTTATATGGTTTGCCTGACCATTTGTCTGCCAATCAGGTTCAAATTTTGGGATCTGCTACAGTTCCTACACTGGATTCCGTGATGTCTACCTTGCTTCGAGTTCCCTCTAAGACCTCTCTGTCATCAGCACCTCCTATGATGCATATACCCCCAGCAGATTCTGTTGACTCTTTCGCTTTTGCTGCTTAAGGGTATGGTCGTGGACGTAGAGCAAATTTTGTTGACTCTTCCGCTTTTGCTGATCAAGGATATGGTCGCGGACGTCGAGAAGATTCTATTGACCCTTCAGCTTTTGATGTTCAAGGGTATGGTCGTGGACGTCAATTCTCTAAAGGAAAGCTGTTATGCACTCATTGTCATCAGACCAATCATATTGTTGACCGCTGTTGGAAGCTTCATGGCAGGCCACCTCCACCTTCTCGGAATGCTCATGTTGCTCAGGCTTTCTCTAATACCTCTGCTCCAGAGTTACCTTCCAGTGCACAACCTCCAGCTGATCTTCTGAATGAATTTGTGACTTGGTGGTCCGAAAAGCAAACATCAGGTCCTACTGCATCCATTGCTCCATCTGGTAATTCTTTTGTTGGCATCTCTCAGTTGCACTCTATAGGCCCTTGGACTCTTGATTCTGGGGCTTCTGATCACATTTCTGGTAATAAGTCCTTATTCACTACCCTTTGTACTACTGGTTCTTTTTCCACTATTACTATGGCCAATGGGTCTCTGGTCCAATCAAAGGGAATTGGCACGGTTCTTCTTTTACCCAATTTATCTCTGGATCATGTTCTATATGTGCCCGATTTCCCTTTTAACTTACTTTTTGTTAGTCTTTTGACCAAATCCATTGACTGTGTTGTTTATTTTACTAAAACCTCTGTCATCTTTCAGGATCGGAGTTCGGGGAAGGAGATTACCAAAGGATGTGAGTCTCAGGGCCTCTATTAACTAGTTCCCTCTTCTTCAGCCTGCTCCACTGTGGATTCTCCTCTTACTATCCATGCTCGTCTGGGCTATCCTAGTCTTGCAAAGCTTCATAAGATGGTTCCCCATTTGGCGTCTCTTTCTACTTTAAATTGTGAGTCTTGCCAGTTTGGAAAACATACTCGTAGTACGTTTCTGAGTCGTCTTAGTCGTCAAGCTGATCATTCTCTCTTTTATCGTCATTCTGCTTCTGGATCTATTTATCTGGTGGTATATGTGGATGATATTGTCATCACAGGCAGTGATCGGCATGGGATCACTCGATTGAAACAACATTTATGTCATCATTTTCAGACTAAGGATCTTGGGAAACTTCGATACTTCTTGGGAATCGAGGTGGCCCAGTCTAAAGCTGGTGTTGTGATATCTCAGAGGAAATATACTCTGGATATTCTTGAAGAAACTGCTCTGTTGAATTCAAAGTCTGTTGATACTTCTATGGATCCAAGTATCAAGCTTCTACCAAATCAGAGGAGCCCTTTTCAGATCCTGAGCAGTATAGAAGATTGGTTGAAAAATTGAACTACCTCACAGTCACTCAGCCTGATATTTCCTTTGCAGTGAGTGTTGTCAGTCAATTTCTCAATTCTCCATGTCAAGAACATTGGAATGCAGTCATTCGTATTCTTAAGTATATCAAGGCGTCTCCAGAAAAATGCCTTGAATATGAAGATAAAGGTCATGATAAAGTTGTTGGGTACTGTGATGCTGATTGGGCTGGTTGTCCAGCTGATAGGAGTTCTACTTCTGGGTATTGTGTCTTTGTTGGAGGCAACTTGATTTCCTGGAAAAGTAAGAAACAAAGTGTGGTTGCCAGATCAAGTGCTGAAGCAGAATACCGCTCCATGGCGACTACTACTTGCGAGCTCATCTGGCTTAAACAGCTTCTCAAAGAGCTTAAGTTTGGAGACACTGGACAGACGACTCTCATTTGTGATAATCAAGCAGCTCTACACATTTCATCAAATCTAGTGTTTCATGAAAGAACCAAGCATGTAGAAATATATTGTCACTTTGTTCGAGAAAAGGTTCTTGCTGATGAAATTAAAACTAGTTTTGTACCCTATAATGAGCAATTAGCAGATGTGTTTACAAAATCTTTAAGGGGGCCTCGAATAGAGTTTATATGTAACAAGCTTGGTGCATATGACCTATACGCTCCAGCTTGAGGGAAAGTGTTAGAATTATATTGTAATTAGGGTTTCCTTATTTCATTAGGCTTTTTGTATTAGGTCTAATTATATTAGGTTTAGGCTTAGCCCATTAGTTTGTCTATATATTGTACATCTCTCATCAGATTAATACACACAGATTATTTCAATGTTCCTCTCTTTTCTTGTTATTTAACAGTTAGAATCCTGTTATGTGCTCATTCACTTTAAGAAAAAAGTAAAGACATGTTTTTTTTTTGCATGAGCAAGTAAAGACTTATTTTAATTTACGAACATTAAGTTGACATTAAGAGGATCCTCTTATTTTTAAGTTAGAAGCTACTTATAAGCTAAAGTTAAAAAAGAGCTTAAAAAAGCTAAAAGTTGTTTGGTAATTACATAAAAAATATAGTTTAAAAGCACATATTTCAAGAAAATTATCTCTCTCTATCTTTATAGCTCTTCATTTAAAAAAAAGCATGCAATTCAAAAAAACAAATAAGAGCTTAAAAAAAAGCTCCTTGTAGGAGGAGCGTTTAACTTTTAGCTTTTTTTTTTAATTATAAAATAAGAGTTTTTCTCAAAACCTGTTTAGCTTAGCTTATGCTTATAAGTAGCTTCTAGCTTAAAAAAGAGAGGATCCAAACAAGTACTAATTTATTTAATTTTTTTTAAAAAGGACATCAATTAAGTTTTTCAATCAAATATTTAATTGACACTGTCATACGTAGAAGGGTCATTTTATAACAATTTCTATGATTAAAGAATTGAAATGATATAAACTCTTTCTAAAAAAATTAAATTGATTCTATTTTATACGTTTGAGAAACTAAAATTGATATTTAATAACATTTAAATCTTAGTTAATTAATGGTATTGGTAATGACATCATAAATGGTGGTGGAAAAGATGAAAAATTAGTGATGGGAATTTTGGCAAAGATGTAGCAACATTGTTGCTGGTGATTGTTTACCAAGAAAAAAAAACATTGTTGGTGGTGATAACTCCGTAGCAACAAAAAGTGGTGATGGTAAAAGAGGTGATAGCTCAAATTGTAGCAACGTGGTCCGAGTGGTGACAAAAGTTGTTACATCAAAAGTCATAATTGTGAGCTATAAGATACATAATGCATATAATTTTCAATTCTTACTAGAATGAAAAAAAAATTATAGTTTGAATTTTATCAGCAGAATTTGATTTTAAAGTTTAGACTTTTCCACATAACAATACAATTTAGGTCTTTTTTTTCCTCTTGTTAGTATTAACACTTAAATCTATGCTCCTACGAAATTTTCAAATAGAAAGAAGAAATGTCAAGTTGAAAACTGTATTAAGCTAAAATATTTTAAAGTTTGAGTTCATGATGACTTCATATTGATAAAGAACCATCTCACTTAATAGCTGAAATATAAACACCAACTCTCATATTATGTTAGACAATGATGTTATTTAAAAGTGTAATCTGTTAAGTGAAAGCCGCTATAATAGTTTTATATATTATTTGCCTAATACTTATTATTTAAAATTGAATTTATGCAAAGTTTTTTGCCTACTATTTGTTCTTGTTAAAAGCTACTGTTATGAATCTGACACAAAACCCCGCATTTTAGAAGACCAAGAAGGGCAAACAACTAAAAGGGATATTAAATAAAGATTTTTTAATTATATTAATCCTGCTACAGTAATGGATCAAGCATTAGACTCCAAAAATTCACCAGAGATATGCATACGTAATAAATTGTAATAAACGTCTAAGAGAGTTACGCTCTACTTTGTGGCTCTTAGATATTCTTTCTCCAGTTTGGCCAACCATCACATTTCCCATCGGAAAATGTATAATACCTTACCAATGGCTATCTCACATAATGAAATTCCCCAGGATAGTATACTCCTAAGGGTTGTCCCGAAGGATCAATCCACAAAGAAGTGCTTTATCTAATATCTGTTCTTTCTGTCTATCTTTCTATCATGCATCATACAAGGCTTAATATCAAATGAACAACATAAAATCATTACTCCCAAGGGAGCATGGTGGAACATGTAACAGCCCCAAACCCTGTAGCATGATATTGTCCGCTTTGCCCCGCGCACAAGCACCGTCGAGCTCACGGTTTTGTTTTTTTGGGACACCCCACAAAAGGCCTCACACTAGAAGAGGTATCCACACCCTTATAAGGCATGCTTCGTTCCCTTCTCCAACCGATGTGGGACATTACATCCTCCCCCACTGGGAATACAGCGTCCCCGCTGTACACACCGGTCCAGGGCCAGCTCTGATACCAAATGTAACAGCCCCAAACCTTGTAGCATGATATTGTCCGCTTTGCCCCGCGCACAAGCACCTTCGAGCTCACGGTTTTGTTTTTTTGGGACACCCCACAAAAGGCCTCACACTAGAAGAGGTATCCACACCCTTATAAGGCATGCTTCGTTCCCCTCTCCAACCGATGTGGGACATTACAGAACACACCAGGGACTAATGCCCAAGGTCCAAAAGTTTACCTTAAAGTAGACTTTCATTTTCTACTTTCTTTATCTTTAAATGCCAACAATCATCACTTCTACACAACAACAACCTAGTGCAAATATGCAAAGATGATTATTAACACAAACATCACACGAAATACTAAGTCACGTGGCTAGGAAATCAATATCTACACTTGAACATCACTTACCTCTTTGATGACAATTCCAAGTGTTAAGTTTTCAATCTAATGGCTCAACCAATAAATCTCCTATCACCAAACCATCACTTGGTTCATCTCTGTACATTAAAACATGGAAATTAACCATCAAACTTCATCACCAAAAACTGATTTTTGCAGTCACTATTCATTCAAAAATCAATATTCATGAATCTTGGTAAAAACATGAAATAGATTGTAAAAACTCACTATGGATGGCTCTAGAATGCAGGGGGTTCAACTTCCTAAGCTTCTATACACTCTCAATATCACCAAAACACAAAATCACTCAAAACTTTCCATGGGAATATCTCTCACACCAAGGCTCCTCAGTGGTTTTGTTTGGAGAGTTTTGTTCTCCTTGAAAAACCAAGCAGCTTTGATTCAAACACCAAAGAGTTTCATGGATTGTAGGTGATTCTAGATTTCAAGCTTTCTTAACTCATTAAACATGGAGGCAACCGATTTTAAGAAGCAAAATATCGATGGAGACGATGAAATGAGATATTTTTATCTCACTAATCATGATTTGGCCACTTAACCATGGTTGACAAGAAAGTCAACAAAACAATCTAGTTATTTACCAACTCATCCTTTCTTGATCTAATTTCTAATCTTCCAGCCATAACTTAGTATTAAACATGTAATTAATTCATATAACTCATAAATTAGATTCTCACCAATTTATATCAAAGTTTTTGGTAATTTAACATAACCAAAATTTTACAGCAAAACTTGTTGTAATCTCACTTTTTTACTTAAATATGACTTGTTCTTATATTCTTTTTTCTTTCTAATTTCTCTCTATTAATTGTGATCAATTCGCATTTATCTCGTTATACAGGTATGTGTTATTATAATTGTAACATCCCACGAATTTAGGAAAATACATAAAAATATTATAAGGCATGAGGATGTCTATGTGAGAAATCGAACTACATGAGAGGTTTGTTGATATTCGAATTTTATGTTAACATATGTATTGTTTGCTAACTATGAAACTATTTTCCCTAGAGAGAAATTAAATTAATTTAGGGAGATATTTGAAGTACAACTATGGCAAGTATATATATATATATATATATATATATATATATATATATATATATATATATGTATATTTAGGCATTTGAACTTTTAGTAATAGTATGTTAATTATATTAATAATTTGATTGATATATATAGGATGCCTAAAAATATTTAAGAGTCAATGGAAATTAAGAAATTGTGGGCTGATTCATAAAACAATAGGACCCATGATTTTAGTACCCACAATGTTACTTGGCCGAACCATAGGGCCTTAGGGGGTGTCCATGATTCAGCCAAACCCTCTACATCTTGTTCAAACCTTATCTCCTCCTACCACTCCAACAAGGCCGCATTCTATTGGGAACTAATCACACATGGCAACTTCTATCCTATCCCATTCAGATTCACATGTGCGCCTAGATGAAGTCAAAAAGTGGGTTGATGACTTGCTGCAACACACCAACTCAATCAGCCTTTGAAAACATGCAACCATTAGGAGAGAAGTGGGCAGATTGCATGAGTTTCTATTGGACAAAAATCTCACCTCCTCTCATATCTTCCTTTGCGCATAAAGGGAGGAGAAAGCCTTGAAATTTTCTGATCCTTTAACCTTGATGGTCAGTCTTATAACCTCACTTCCCCTCACCCCAAGCGCTGAAGTAACAAGCATATAACAAACTCATCTCAGTTCTTTCACCACACCAAAAACCGTGATCCTGAGACACCAAGAAAAGAATGGTTAACCACCATCTCTACTTTTGCTAAACCGTGGCACCTCCTTAATAATATCACGAACATTAGTGGCTAGTTTCACATTGCTCTTCCCCTCTTGAAACCGAGGACTCCTTGAGGAAGGAACGCGGATAGACAACATCTTCTTCTCCTTTCCACTGCTGGCCGAAGGCTACTTATCAAGGAAGTGAGTTGCTAGTCCTCCCTCTCACCTCTTTCTATTTGCACAAGATTCTCATGAGACTATTCTTGGTTGCATGCGTAGATTTTATGTTGGTGAAGTCTCTTCCTCCTTATACGTAGTTAGGCTGGACATTTGGAGCATTGGGTAGCGGAAGCTTTCTTTATGTTCTGAGTTGAACTCTTAGTTGTGGACAAGAACCGTAAGTAACCTTCTACTCCCTTGTGTCCTTGTATTCGGTTTTCAAGTATCTTTGGAGGGCTGGATTATTCTGTTTCGTTGTACTTTAGCATACTTTGAGCTAGCATGATTTAAAATAAAATAAGATAGCATGTGGCGCACCATGTATGATGTATATGGGTTTTGGGATAAAATATCTTTTATGTTTGTTGAAAGAAAACCAATTCTGCCCAATAAATGTTGTTAGGTATTAGGTCCTTTTTCTAATTTAATTTACAGCATGTGGTTAGGTTGCTCTTCTTATTCTCCTTATCTTGTTGAGCAAAATCCAAATTGACATCATGAGACACTTGTGTGGTTAGGACCGATTCTGTTTAGTGAACCTTGATGAGTTGAACTTTGGAAAATTTTTCATGAATTCCTATGTGCCAAAACCGGTACTGCTTTGGTTGTGTCGTGGGAAATTTATGGTGAATGCAGAATCTAGTTAAGGGATGAAAGCATGGGGAAAACCGTGTAAATATGCATGAAGGGACGTAGGAAAAACATTGGATGTTGTTGCTGTATAACTTTAATTAAAATGAGATGAAGTCAGAAAATTGTTCTGTAAGAGAAGCCTTAAAACCGAACCTTGCATGTTAGGAACCTTAAGTTATCCTCTCTGTTAAATGTTGGTGAAGACTTATTTAAGGGCAAAAAAATAAATTAACATTAGAAGCCTTATAATTCGATGTAAGCACATGAGTTAGAAGCATGGAAATGTGTTGGAGAAGTTGTATAAAATTCTGACTTGGTACAATGGTATATAGGTGCGCATATTCCGTAAGTTTGTGGACTTTTCGCTGCTGCCCGGTAAATTAATTGTGACGCGTGAGGTAAGTGTCTGGTGGCATTACCTTTTGTGACTGCTAGCTAGTGCATGGATTATGAATTGTTGCTCTCATGTTTTGGATCTGGATTCTGTATACGATATTCGTATTCTGTTCATAGATATAATATGCTGGATATTCTGTTGAGGAGAATAATTGTTATACAGCATTCTGATATTGGAATCCATGAGATATATGTACCTTGATTATTATCTAGTCATGCATATACACCTCATAATGCATTTGTTTCTTTTGGTTGTGAAGCATATCATGGCATACATGCACAAATTTCATGCTGCACATGGACTAGAATTTTTATATAAATATGCATACGATTGAGCATGCATCATATAGGCATACCTCGGTACCAGGGCAGGGGACACTTGGCTTCCGTCCGCATAGGTTACAGTTGGAATCCTTCTGTTGGCGCCACCCAGGATTATTCACTGTATCTGTTAGTGTTACGTGCACAGTAGGGCTATGAACGTACACTTCTGGCGTTATATACGCACTATGATTATGATTCAGTGTTACGTGCACAGTAGTGCTATGAGCGAACACTTCTGGCGTTATATACGCACTATGAAAATGGTTAGTACTTGACGGATTTGAACTGATGATGCGACTGTTTTGTAATTATGTATTTAGTTAGTACTGTTGCATTACTGGTTTTGTTGCCACACTACTGAGATTTTTCTCACCCCTTTGGGGCTGCTATTTTTACAAAATGGCAGGAGGACGGAAGAGCATATGAAGTCATGATTGTATGGATATTTGTTGTTATTTTCTGCTATTGGGACTTTTGATGTTGCTGTTTATTTGATGGATGACTGTATTAAATTGAGGAATTTGGATAACTGTTGGATTATGATTTCATTGTTGTTTTAAGACTTTTATGATCAGCAAGCATTTTGGAAATAAATTCTAGAAACATTTTGGGAAAATAATTTTTGACGTTTTATTAAGTGCAGATTTTCGAACCGTGTTGCGAGCACTTTGCGAGTTATGTTACGAGGGGCAAACGAACTCCGATTTACTATTATTTTATATGCACGCGAAGCCCCAGACATGCTCTTTCTAGATTACATGGAATATTTTTTTGAATCGTTGAACTTGATTTGATACGAATTTTATAAGACAGCAACGTCTGCCAGAAAATTAATATTTTCAGCAAGTTAAGAAATTTTGAAAGTACACTCTGATTTTGTAAGGAAACTGATTTCAATTATAAGTTTTAATTAGCAACATATAAATGATTTTTCAGTACTTAAAATATGACAAAAGAACTCTAATTCCGCTTAGCAAACAACTCTCTTGGAGGCCTACTAGGGTGGGTGTTACACTAATGGGTATCAGAGCAGTTTTGATTCAAGGTGTCTGTATTTGATGAAATATTTGTTGTTGTTATGTGGTTGTTGAATTGTTGTTGCCTGGTTATATTGATTATTTGTATGTTCGTTGCATTGTTGCTGTTTTTACTTAGCGGTGAAGGGGCTACTGGTTAAAATCACCTGACATTTGGAGGTGTGATGATACTGGTAGTACACCGTATTAAGCATGGTTGTGCCCATTCCCTTGCTAGGTGGTGAGCCTGATCAACTCACCGTCGCGCAAGTTGTGTGTGCACAATCATGGTTATCACGGGGTACACTTGTGCCTGAGCACTATGTGTGAATTATGTTGAATTGCTACTTGCACTAATAGTTAATTATCAATTCTGCCCTCTAGGGACTATATAGAAGGTTATACGTGTGTATATGTTTGAGGTAACGTTTAATGAATAACGTCCTGAGCTGTAAATAATTGTTGGTACATAATTATTTTTGAGATTCATGACATTTTCTTGGATGATGGGAATGTGTCACATTGCTGTATAATGGAAACAGTTTTTTTTCTTACAAATCCTATCAGGTTTCATAACTAAGTAAGAGTAGCAGTAATATAAGACTGATAAGTGATGTAGTTAACTAGCATTAATGAAAACTTATGTCCTACCCTTAAAACTGTGTGGGAACGCGCCATGCGTAGGGATAGATCAATTAGTTCAGGGAAGATGAAGTAAATGCCTCTGTGAAGTATAACTGGGGTTAGATAAGACTCAAAACTGTGGACCCTAAACCTTACAAATCTTCTAATGGTGAATTGGTACTAGACATCATTCTTGAGAAAGAAACTGTCCAACAAAGGGGTGATGCAAGGGGAGTTGTATTTGACTCCTGCCTCCTGGTTCTTCTTTAACGGACACTTGACGTTTCAACCTTTATACTATTAAGCAAATTCAGGAATTACTAGGGAGATCATGTAAATTTTGATTAAGAAATCCAAGTAAGATTATTAAGATTAGAGTGCTTACAATTCTCTTACAGTTAGAATTTAGTCTAGCACCATAATTGTTCGGGTGTGATGTAAGAACTATGGAATAACGTCGAACTTCACCACCTCACCTAGTT